GCAATTTGTCATTGATTTTCTTTTAATCTTTAACTTTTGTTGTCATATATTTTGACATAGATTCTCATGCTACAATATTTTTGGTTCAGAGATTAATTATATTTTTCATTTGCAAAATAAACTATGCTCAAGAAACAAAGTAGACATATATCATCCACGGCTTCTTCTAAATGTGCCTCCTTTAGGAACTAAATATTTTCAAAATGTCTCCAAGAAACTATTTAGTTACAGTCACTAAGGCTTGCCCATGGTTCTCAATGAAGTACTTTTTAGAAAATGCCTCCTTTTTATCTTCTTCATTATCCTTCTCTCTCTCTCTCTCTATTTCATTTCTCCCTCTCTCTCCCCCTTTAAAATTATTAAATCTATTGTTGGGTACACCACAAGTTGTGGTCATTTCAGGCTTCCCTCCATTTCTTTATACTGATTTTGTGGAACTTGCTTGCTTTTGAATATAGAAAAAAGAAATGTACTGCATAGGATCCACAAAGTCTATAGGAACATATTCTGGCCACAACAGCAAGACTATGCTAATATAACAAATGAAAACAGTGAATAAATCTACCACCATTTCTAAAATCTAGACAGCTGCTACACAAGCAATGTAAAGGTATACATGTAAGGATGCCAGCTTATAAACATGGTCTTTCCAGAGGAACAAAACTGCAAAGCTTGGAAGTGGGCATGTGGGAATGGAAAACTTACCAAATGCCACAGATTGATTATCATGTGAAGAAAGCATCAGTGCATTTCGAACAATGTGGTACTCTACCTAGAGATACTTGCATTTATTGTTACTCTGAAAAGCTATTTCAAACAAAGTGAATCAGCTACTGGACCATTTCTTTCATGTGTTTTTGGGAAATCGAGCATTTTTTTTCTTTATTTCTTAAAAAAAGGAAATGCAGTTCAGGGAGAGCATATGCGTGATTCTAAGAGGATTAAGAACGTTCTACGTGCAAGAGATGCTATACTTTAACAATACATGTATGTGAGAAAAACAGCATAATAATGAAAACTTATTCATTATTTTAACTTTAGCACATAGCTGTTTTCCAGTCAATAACTGTCATAATTTATATTTATTCATATTTATATTTATTCCTTAAATCAAAAGCGGCTGTCTAAATTGTGATGTAGTTTCTCCATTGGCAGGGCCAAAACTTACCATTTTCAAGGAAAAATGAATCACAGCACAATCCTATCTCTAATTTTTGGGCTTTGGAATCCCATAGAAAGGAGAAACTGTTCTTCATAAGTCAAATCTGTGGTGCAGTCAAAACGGCAAAAGAAGGAATGAATTTACAGTAGAGTTCTTGGGGTTCTCTGAGCTTGGCTGTTTTCTTGCAGATGTTTTCTTACCCATGAATTTACAGTAAAAATGGGGAAACTCAAGAATTGCTGAACATTCTTTATAGGAAGGCTCCCAAGAAAAATGGGTTGTATCTTAGCTGTAACCACCAGAATTTTTTCAGAAGGAATAGAGTATCTCAAAAAGCTCAGCACTGGCAGATTAAAGGCACATGTCTTCAGCTTAACAGAGGCTGTTGTTGCCAACTCATTGAAGAACTGCACAAACATAGTTGTTATGAAGAGCAGGGTCTCATAGTAAATAGACCATAAATCATGGAAAATGTGATTCATACATCTTTGAGAGACAGAAAATTTGCCATTCTAAAGGGCATTACAGTATATTCATTTTTTTTTTTTTAGCAACAGTCAAAGGTTATTAGGTATTTATGTTCCCCCTTTACACAAATTAGATTGCAGCACACTTGAGGTCCAACTCGTGAAGACCCAGGACTTCTATATCCATTTTAAGAGTCAGGGACAGATTGTAAGGACCTCTAATCATTATGGAGTAGAGGAGGCAGTAATCATGGGCTACATGTAGGAAGCTATCTTACTTTTTGACAAAAAAGCTGGGTGCACCAACAGGGAAGCAGAAGGCATAGACAAAACCCATCTGCAGATTTTGCAGATGCATTCCATGAGGCCAACCCGTTCTGTTTCAGAGGATCTTGTGACAGAATGTCTAACAGATTCTTGGAAAGTGGAGGAGGAAAAAGAACTGTTGCAAAAGTGATACCTCATTCCGGGGAAGGTGGGGGAAGTGTGAGAAAGACTGAAAGCGACTCTGCCTTAATTAAGTATAAATTGAGCAAGACAATTGCTGTGACAAGCTTTCAAGATTCTGTTACATTACTCTACTCTTGCAGTAAAGATCTTTCCAGAAACAAGTGGTTCTTGTTTCCTGAGCTTGCTAGCTTGCAGAACTTGACAAATCTATGGAATGATTGGCAATTTGACTTCCAAGAATATGGAATCACACAACTGCTATTATACAGTCAATCACAGGTACAATCACAGAATTGATGGAGGTGGGCAAGGTCTGAAACTGTTTTTCCCAAATAGATCTGCAGAGTCCAAATACTGTATTTGGAAAACAAGCTGGCAATCTCTCATTTTGTGATGGTGATGATTGATAGAGGTCTGCAGGTAATGAGTCTTACATCTAGGAGCGCTGAAGATGATAATATTGTGATCCCAAAGCATATGTTGTTGTGAGGCTACAAATTGTCAATTCCCAGGACTACTGGAAAATACAGATGGGAGGCCAAGTAAAGTTGCAGGAGCTCCTGATGGCTGCTGAAAATGAGTTGTAGTGGTTCAATGCACTCCATGAATGGACCTAAGCAAAATAGCTAGCCATCAGTACTTTCAATGATAACGCAAGGCTGAGAAGGCTGAGCAGATAGAGCGGGCAATGGATGATTCACTAAAGTTGCCGATAGCGCCAAAGACTATTAGACCCTGTAGCTATATTCTGGTGCCAGTCCAGGTTTGGTAACTGGAATGACTAAATACAGGTATGTAGTTCTGCAGACTCGCACTCAGCTTAACTTTTGTTTGTTCTAGACTTGGAGTTCTTGGGGCTGGGACCATCTCATTTCCTGCAACCAGATGAGCAGTGGGCATCTGTAGGCAGAATGTCCCCTACTCCACTATTATGGCACTTTGCTGATGCTTTGGGAAGTAAAGTCTTAGTAGTCACTTTCATGCTTAATAGCCAGATTTTCATAGTATAAATATGAGCCTTTTGTGTGATGGTGTAATTTATTTTGGGCAGCAATTAAAATCCTACTAGCTCCCATCTCTATGAGTTCAACTTCAAAAGTATCCAAAATGCATCAGAAGGGGAAGAAGGGGCTGAAAGTGACTAAAGGTGACCTTTCCTACCAGTATTTATTTGCACCTTAAGTCTTCCATCTATGCCAAAGCAAATGTGAATTAATGCAATCATTCTGTCTGAAGTACCCTAACGAACAGATTATGTGCTTCATTAGGCCGGCCCTGCTTGTATTTGTCAATTAAGCCTCTCTCATTCAAGCCCACATCCTGAACCAGCAGCTGAAACTCTGTAGCATATTTCTGCACCAAATGCTCATCTTGCTGGAGTTGGTGGATTTTGCATTTGGCTGTCTGACAGAATCCTCAAAAATAACTCTCAGGCATGTTAGAAAGTTAGTGTAGGTTACAAAACAGGGCTAGGCTGAATGACAAGCGGAGCTGCTCACTTTACAGTTCCTTCAGACATTAGACTTATTAAGAACCCTCCAACTCTGGGCTCAATCTGTGTAGAAGTCCTCCTGTTTCAGGGAAATATATAGTTGTAGAAATACACTTTAAGTAAGGAAGTATATTTGCTTGGATTCCATTGAACTGATTATGTCCATCCAGTGAGAACATATCTTAAAAAGGCCTGTTAAAAATCCCGCTTATCTGAAGTTAGGGAAACATAGATGAGACAACAGGCCTTCTCTGTGGTGAACCCCATTCTTTGAAACTCCCTACCTCCAAAAGTTCATAAAGTCCCTGACCACATGCATTTGGAAGAATAATTAAGAAGAGTTTTATTTTACCAAGCCTTCAACCCTAGTTAAATGTTGCTGGTGTTCATCTTGGGGAAGGGTTGATTTATTAACTGATATGCTGCTAGGTTCTGCCCCAAATACTAGACTGATTGGTTCATAGTCTAGACAAGCTGGGTTCATTTAGGCAGCCACCTGGTGTTGCTACTAGAGCAAAGCACAGGCTACTGGTTGACAGTGCCTCCAGAAGATCACCCCCCACTGTTCCATTTTGGAATAGCCATGCACTGGTTCATCTCCACTGTGGTGCAGTTGGGGGAAAGCAATAAAACTGTCAGTCTGCCTGGCATGGACTCAGGTGTGGCTATTCATATATTTGACACAGCAAGGCTAGATAATAACCTTTTTTGCATACGAAAATGAAACCATTCTAGGCAGCTGACTGCCCTCTTCAATTTAAAAGTGAGTCCCTACTTATATACTGACATGTTGTAAATCCAGTGTCCTTGTTTTTGCCTTTCTGAAGCTTAAAGGACACTTTGCTTTGCATTTCTCAGCCACGGCGCTTGGTGGGAGCAGGTTGCTAACGTTAACTAGTGTTCTTGCTTGTGAGAAGCTCTCCCAGCATATTTCCCACAGGTGGAATGGAGAGGCTGAAGAGCTTCAGAAGTATCCTATGTTCTCACGAATAAGCTCCCCAAGATCTGAGGAAATACTAAGTTCAGATATAGGCAACATGGTATCCATGGGCACCAATGTACCAGCAGACACCTTTCTTGGTGCCCACCAGAAACTGACACTGCCTGTTTTTATTTTTTTTAAGTATTTTTTAATTTTAAAAAAATGGAAAGTTAGCATAAAACCCACCAGATTCTAAAATTGTATTTGCAGTATCTTTAAGGTTCATGTGAACGTCAAGTATTCTCAGAAGAATAAATGCTGAAAGTGTGCCCACCTGTATAGATTGCGTGTATCCACGATAGTCTATATTTATAGAAAGCACAGTTTAATGTATACTTCATGGTATACTACAGCTGTTAATATTGAAGGTAAGATTCTGTGGCAAAAGATGAACATTGGTTCTCTCTTTAGACCTGCTTGGTTTTTAAAAAGCCTTTTTTTTGTCGAGACATATTTAAACAAATATGTATAAATAAAAAACATTTTAAAATAGTACATCACAATCCAATCCATGTCTCCATATACAATTTGCATGTCTACTCAGAGTAAGCACCACTGAATTAAACATTTAGTTCCTCATAAGCATATTAGATCTTTAACTGGACTGTATTTTATAAACTAAGATTCGTATTACATAAAAACGAAGATTTAGGAAAACAATGTTTAAAATGGTCAGCAACAACATACTAATAGGTTCCTTAGACATATTGCCCATATATCGCTGATCAGCACTCTTGTCATGGAGCGTTACTACAAAAAACCCAACAGAGCAGATTTCTTCGACAAAATCCAGCAAACACGCTGCGACGGGCAAAAGCTCAGAGCGAAAAAGGCACCTCGACGTCACACACAAAAAAAGCGGGCACAGTCTGAACCAGGAACGTCCATTCGGCTCTTCTCCACTGACTGCGAGGCATGAAGCTTTTGCTTCTCCAGCCAACTACCTTCCATCCGGCTAGGAAGCGTGACGCATGCGCAATAGGCAAAAATGCTTTTTTTCTTGTCTTCCGCCGGTTCTCCAGCTTCCCCTCCACTTCCGAAGGGACCTTTAAAGGGCCAGCAGAGCTTTAAAGAAACAAACTAAAAAGGGGGACTGTGATCAGTCCCATGAGACGGTGGGGTGATTAAAACAAGGAGCTCTTGCAACGCACAGGCAGACTGACGTCAAATCTAAGGCAGAGGAATTGAACGCAGCCTCCTGACAGACGTTTCTGAGGGGGAAGCACGTAATGGAGCCGCCGGGGGCTGGAGTCGGAAAAGCCGGTGACTTCGATGCAGCAGGGGAGCCCGGGCCGCCCCGGCGGTCGCCTCCGGTGTCGGTGGCAGCGGTGCTACCTGCCGGAGGAAGCGGGGAGAGGCTGGGCGGCAGCACGCCGAAGCAGTTCTGTCCCGTGCTGGGGAGGCCGCTCATTAGCTACACCGTGCGGGCAATAGAAAGGTAAAGAACAGCTGTACTGCTGCTGCTGCATCCCTCCCCCCCAAACGCACATTCATCACCCAGCACCCCCTTCTCATGTGCTCGTGAGGGAAAAAAACGCGTGACGGGGTCAGGTGCATCCAAGGGCTTTCCCTTACCACGCATGCGCACACAGGGAAGCGGCCGGAGCGAGCGTTGAGATGATGGCGGTACTAAGAGCAGCTTGTCCGTACGCGGCGGCCTTGGAAGCTTGCTGCTTAGCACAGTGGGAAGCATGGCAAAGGAAAGGGTTAAGGATGCGGTTCACACGTACAGCTTTGTTGTGCTCATTCTGTCTCGGAATGGAGGCCCGTGAAGCGAGGCTGTGTGAGTTCTGAGTAGTAGGGTCCATTGAACAGCTTGGATATTTCCTATTCTGGTCTCTGTGTGTATGCCTTCGAGTCAGTGTTGACTCTTGGTGACCGCCTGGACGAGTCCTTGCAGTTTTCTTGGCAAAATTTCCAGAAGTGGTTTGCCATTGCCTCCTTTCTAGGGCTGAGAGAGAGTGACCGGCCCAAGGCCACCCAGCTGCCTTTGTGCGTAAGAACTCAGTCTCCTGGTTTCTAGACTGGTGCCTTAACCACTACACCAGTGTTTCTCAAACTTGCCAACTTTAAGATGTCTGAACTTCAATTCCTAGAATTCCGCAGCCCACCATGCTATTTTACAGAATTAAATAATTTAACCAAATTCAAACGGATTATCTGTTATTTAATCCAGGACCCAGATCTTGTTTAAGGAGAAATGCCTTAGCCATGATTGGTAATCATAGCTTGTTCCTGGATTATGTACTGTAGTTATCTTATTTATGATCCCAATTCAGATGTAGGTGAACTCTCCAGGTTAATGTAGCTCTGTTGAATAAGCATTGAGTATAAATTACCTTATAGAGAGAGAGAGAAAAAACATGTTATGTAAAATCATTGTTGTTACTGAATTAGAATCTAGAGACCATAACTTATAAAGCTATTTAGAATATACACAAAACAGCTGTTAAAACATAGTTGCAGGTCATCTCTTTTTCCCAGTTAGATAAAATGGAGTGGGAAAAGCAGATAAACAGATTTTCAGCAAATCAGAAGCATTGCTGGGAACAGAGAAAGAAGGATGTCCCTTGAAACTCTATCCATCAAACAAAAAGCCCCATTTAGCAAATCAGTGCTCCCATATTTTCTTTTAGCATTTCTGTTATTTGGGTGCCAAATTATTATATCCTTGCAGGAGAAAACTTCATCTCATGTACTTTATTTCAAAGTTTGAATTGGGTTGACAGAACTTTTTTTTTTTCACCGTTTCTTTTTAAGATGTGTTACTGGTGATGAACTGTTTCCTATAAACCAGAATGGGAGAAATTGTTCAGCCAGATTATTGTATTTCCTCATGGCTATCCCTTGGGGGAACAGTAAATTGGATGAAAGAAAAGTTGGGAAGGATTTTGTTTATTTGGTTGTTCAATTTATAAGCCATCTCAGTCATCCAAGAAAATCTAGGCAACATGCAAAATATTAAAACAAGTAGAAGGCAGGAAAAAAACCCAGACAAACAGAAATGATACTACTAGAACCAAGAAATAGAATCTCAATGCAGGGTCACAAAGCGCTCTGTCTCAGGGTGACAAAGTGCCCTGCTTCAGGGCCTGTTAAAAGTGCCATGTTTTAAAGGCTTTCTCAGAAAGAGTATTGATGATTTTGAACTTTGGTGTTGGAGAAGGCTTCTGAGTATACCATGGATATTCAAGAAAACAAACAAATAGATCACTGAATACATCAACCCAGAGTTTCTACTTGAGGCACAAATAACCAGGCTCCTACTTTAGATACATTATGCAGAGACTTAGCTCTCTGAAAAAATCTATAATGCTGGGAAAGGTGGCAAGAAAAAGAAGAAGAGGATGACCAGCAACAAGGTGGATGGATTCAGTTACATCAGCAATGGGCGCACCATTGGAAAACCTGAAAGATGCCGATGTTACCCAGGTTCCTTGAGCTATGTAGTTCAATTTTATGTGAGGGGTAACTTTAGGGTGAGTTGTTATGCCTATTGCCAATCAGATTTAGGGGATGTGGGGATTGTCTGCCAGGGTAACTTTTAGGGTAAAAAGTGGTGTGGTTGTTAAGTGAGGTATCATGTGACTGCACCCAATTTTACAACCTTTTTTGCCACTGTCATTAAGCAAATCACTGCAGTTGTTAAGCGAGACATCACAGACCACGACTTATAACCTTCCCTGCTGGCTTCCCCATTGACTTTGCTTGTCGGAAGCTGGCTGGGAAGGTTGCAGATGGCAATCATGTGACTTTAGGATGATGCAACCCTCGTAAGTGCAAGCTGGTTGCCAAGTGCCCGAATCATGATCATGTGGCTGCAGGGATGCTGCAATGGTCGTAAGTGCAAGGACCGGCCATAATTCACTTTTTTCCAGCACCATCATAACTTCGATGGTTGCTAAACAAATGGTCATAAGTTGAGGACTACCTGTACAGCAGCAGGGTGATGCTTTCAGCTTTTCCGCAGACCATGTGAATAGGGTTGACAAGACCACATATGGTTTGTATATTACATTGTAAGTAGGGAATCATATACATACACACGTTGTGACAGAATTGGGTATACTGTCTTTCAATCTCCTTTCAAAACCTTAATTAACAAGCTTTAATAATTAAAAAAAGCACAGTAGTTCTTCCTTTGGCTTCAATTAACAAATAGACTGATCTGAAAATATATATGGTTGCATGATAAAATGTCAGTGTTATAATGTATATTTTATGCTAGTGGAATTTTTATCTTCACATTTTTATAGAATAAACTTTTGTATTAGACATTTGGATGTATGAGTCTTGAGTATTCTTTTAATATGAGAATATGTACTCTGTGCTTAAGATGTTAAACAGGAAATAAAGATATTAAGAATATTGCTTTGGGGAAATTTGCAGTGGAATTGTCAACTCCAGTTTCCTATGATTGTAATCACTAATGTGATAAAATTCAGTGTTTTTTTTCTTCAGGAGATTTCCTTATTAGTTTATATCCTGATTCTCACTTAGCTGCTCAGTGCAAGTTAAACAGATGTGAGGTAGATTGGGCTTAGAGTGACTGACTAAAGTCATCTAGTTAACTAGGTTAGGCCAAGGTTGGAATAGTACCTGAGTCTCCACACACCTAGTCCAACATCTTAATTGCTGTTGGCTTTAGTTTTAAAGCTTTACCTCTGCCTTGCAACTTTCTGTCTCAGCTGACAACCTCATGGAAAACTCCTAAGATTAAGAGTTCCATCTTGGAACCAAGATGGTGACAAACTAGCAGCTCCTGAAAGAAGCTCCTGGCTTGTGACTGACCTCACCCTTTCTGGCTCAGCCCTACAGCCCAAAAATACCATCCAGAGGCAAGAAAAGAACCCGGACCAGCCCAAGTAATGATACTGGGGGCCATAAACCCAATAAAGCAGAGAAACAGATGAGGACTGACTCCTATCTCCCCACCACAGAGACAACACAAAACATGAGTAACAGATCTACAGCTTCAGGATCCCCTTCACTCCCAAAGAATATGACAACGCAGAAGCCAGTAACAAGACAGGCCTCGCTCCCAGTCCTCTAAAACTTCAATCCAAATCACTCCCTGGAGCAGGGAGATAGCAGAGATAACCTCCTGGAACAAGTCTCCTGCGCCCCCCACATCTACATTATCCAGCCTTACATGAAGTCTGTCTTTTGTCTGCAGAAACTCTGATCTTTATACTGCAACGGCTAAATGACATTGCAGTCAAGATAAACAGCTTCCAACAAGCCCTTGATCTGCAAAGCCTCCATGGCAATCAGGGTTAAAATGGCAGCAGAAGCTGGCCATATTGCCATTCTAGCAGCCTGCCCTATGACAACAGGGCATCCAAAAGCAGTTGATGTAGTCAACTACCACTGTGTGTTACAGAAAAAGCAACTCCTCCTAGAAATCCATCAGAATGCTCATAGATGGAACAGCTGTAAAATTATTGTGACCTATCTCAGCTTCTAACTTTCCAAAATAGAACAATTGATTTGAAAGATTTTCACTACCAACCCAGTCCAAGAAATATTAAACGCATACTCCTGAGTTTCAACCAGCCATCTCTCCCCATAGATTCACACAAATGAGTAACTTCCTATGCCAGACTTATCACATCCAAACTGTCAGAGTCTTTTAAGGACAAGTTTCCTCATCACTGGGAAAGTGACAAATGGTCATGACCCTGCAGATAAGAGCCATAAAAACTTATGCTCCAAATGTAGTAAATCTGCCAGCCATGCCAAGAGTGAAGAGCCTAAAAACTTATGCTCCAAATGTAGTAAATCTGCCAGCCATGCCAAGAGTGAAGAGCCTAAAAACTTATGCTCCAAATGTAGTAAATCTGCCAGCCATGCCAAGAGTGAAGAGCCTAAGCACACTTCAAGGGAGGAAGTTAAATCTATAAACATAGAACTCATTAATCTGAGAAAAAAAAACTAGCAGACATTAAAACAATTCTGACATACCCTCCCAGAGCAGGTAACGATACGGAAGTCCAGAACCAACTTAATACGTCTGCCTCATTGAGCTACTCATCTTCTAAACGATCGCACACTGCTGCTTCTCCTTTGACTCGAACTTGCAGAAAGCTGTCAGCACACTACTTTGACTTCCTCACCAATAACAATGAAAGTGACCCTGACAGTGACTCCTCTGAGAGCTCCACACCAGCAATACTCAAGGAACCCATGCAATCCCAAGACGTTGATACCCAAAAGAAACTGCCTTGCAGACAAAACAAACTTCAGCCAAGCACTACAGAAACCCAAACTGGAGTTATACCTTTATCTGCTTTCAAACCTGAGAAGCCTCTTCTGGCCCTGCGGGAACCCAAGTCACAGGAGAAACAGCTCCCCTCACCTCTTCTTTCACTGGATAAGTCAGAGGATGCTCCCCTTGCTAAAGAGTTGAGATCCCTGCTTGCCAGTGATCCCCATTTTGCTGCCCATGCTTACCAGAACTATAAGCTCCCCTGCCGCTTCATGAGAAGAAAAGCTTGATGGACAAACAGATGAAGAGAAGGGAGAGCAGGAACTTGATGGTACCCCACCTTCCCCCCTCACCACAGAGGGAGACACAATTACAACCATCTCAACCAACAACTAATACAAAGCAACTGTCCCTGCAAAAATCATCCATCCAGCTCCTGACTCACAGTGCAAGTGTCACTGCTTGACATCCAAGTGAGCAGTATAAGGTCACCCTTCTAACCTGGAATGTGGCTGGGTGGTTTGCATCTACCCAAGATCCTCGTTTTACTGACTTCCTCTCCCACCATCACATCATACTGATTCAGGAAACACAGACTGCTACTGAATGCTGGTCTGTGATTTGATTTGAATTGACTCCCAAGATTAGAATGGATCCTAAATTGTAATTGTAAACTGTGATCTGATCATCAGTCAAACTTAAAATAAACCCATCAAAGTCAGTAAGACTTAAGTTAGTCATGCTTAAAGGAGGTTTTTCATATCCTTTGGCAAGTAGAATATTCTAAACATATTTGTATATAAAATTCAAATGGTTGTAGTAGCAAATAAATTCTAGTCACAGGCTTGATTATTAAGGCTGCAATTTCAGACTCACTGAACTTACATTAATATATATTACTTATAAAGGTAAACATTTGTGCTGTGTCTTTAAAAAGTATTATAGTAAAAAGTAGCTATATATGTTATATAAAACATTATTTGCCCAGTATGGTAATTGCTTCACTATAGTTCTGTGAAAGTACATGTTTGCTTTTATCTGTTTTTCTTCCAAGGTTCTAAAGCAGTATGCTTATTTATTTTACAATTAGAAGAAAGTTTAAACATTAAGTAAGTCCCAAGAACATTTAGACATTAAATTATTTTCTTCAATGTCTTATAGAATCAACTGGATTTCTGATATTGTTGTGGTGGTTTCTCCAGAGAATATTGAAACAATGAAATCTATTGTTAGAAAATATGGCCATGAGCGGACAACGATAGTGGAAGGTGGACTAACCCGTCATAGATCTATTTTCAATGGATTGAAAACATTTGTAAAAGGCAACACATTCTGCTCCCCACTCCAGAAACCAGAAATAATAGTAATCCATGATGCTGTGAGACCATTTGTTGAGGAGGATATTCTCTTTAAAGTGGTTATGGCTGCCAAAGAACATGGGGTAAGTATTTAAAAATCACAGAGTTCTTTAATGTTGCACTAATAACAATATGTAAGTCAGTCTTTCTCAAGCTGATGGCCTCCATTAATATGCCTAACTAAGAATTATTGACTAAGATCCAAAAAAATCAAGAAACAAGGTACAAGTGCTCTATGACCATGGCAACTTTTAATTTGTTTTTCTTGAATGGAGAAGAGTCCCCAGTACAAAATGGGCACATTGCTTTTGAAAATGAATGGGTGTTAATTGCAGTTTGTAGTAAATCATGTGGAATGGGTTACTTAGAAAAAAATACCATTGGACATTAAAATGCTTGCCTTGTAACCTTTGAATGTTAGCCATATCTGAAAATCCAATTAACTTCAGTAAAATATATTAAAATTTCTTTTAAGGGATTTAGTCACATGCACATATATAGCAAAATGTTTTATTGGCTTATCAGATTTCATCTAAAAGTTTCATAAGTAACATTGTTTATTTTTCTATAATTTAAATGGTTAAACCAATGAAATACTGAATGTTGAAATTGAATCTACTAATAGAAAAAGTAAATAAGAAATGCCTTACTTTTGTGAGTTTTTTTAGTTCATTAGCCACAGAATCGAAAGTATATTATGGGTGTCAGAAATAGTTAACATAATTAATAACATATATAATTGAAATAATTATTACAATTAATATTAGTCATATTGCTTTTGACTTAATCTTTTGCATCTTTTGCACCAATATTTCATACAATATATCAGAATATTCTAAATATTTCTCCCAAACGATTTAGTTTTCCCCTTCTTTTCTATGTGAGGAAGTATTAATAACAATGAAAAATGAAAGAGTTAACTGGACACTTTGTTGTAAGGAAGACAACCAAAAACTAAGAGAGTGGGGGATAAACAGAGGGAGGGAATGAGAGAGGCTTTTGATGGGGTCAGAGTAAAAAGAATGAAAGCAAAAGGACATAATCAATATATAAAAAAAACTAAAAGAGAAAAAAATTCCTTGTGACCTTATGACAAGTTAAAGAATCATTTTGTAAATAAGAATCAATGAAGAATTTTGTTTATATACTTTTTAAAAGAGAAAATATATATTTGTTCACACGGTGTTATTGGTAAAAAGAGTTGTTCATAATTAACTAACTATAATTGCATATACCCCCATCTCATCTAAGATTCCAGAAAAAAATCAGTAACAGCAAATATAAATTTAGAGTTCCTGTTTTGAGCTTATTATTTTAGGGTTGTGGCAGTGAGATTTTAAGGTATATTTATCTCCAGAATGAATTTAGAAGAAAATATGTGGTTTTTGACTAAGTAAACCTGGTTTTGGAGTTTTTGCTGAATACGGGAAAAATGAACTTGTGATTTATGGGTTTGATGATTAAAAAGGGTAGAATGTGGAAAGAAGGGAGCCATGAAGTAACCTTAGAGAGAGAGAATAAAATATAAATGCATTTATAACAGCTGTAAAGAAGATCAGAAGCCACTTTGTGATATCTTTTTTCTTTTTCTTTCTTTGTCATTTTTCTTTCTTTTCTATTTACTTATCACTTTTTTTCCTTAACTTTACTTTCATTTTTGTTTAAATCTGTATTGTTTTTACCTTGTAAAAACTTCCTCAATAAAAATAAATTTCAAAAAGAAGGAAAAAAATGGGATTAAATTAAAAAAAATACAGTAAACCCAGTTTTTCTATACCTTGTCTTGAATGAGAAGTATATAGCTGAACAGATATGATATCATATTCAAATAAATGTAGGACCCTGTTCAGTACTCACTTTTCCTAAAATAAGGAATGGAATAGTCTACGCTGCAATTATGGTCCTGTTTAGGTGCAATCACTGTGATCAAGTAAATAATAAATAGGCCCATAATACAAACGCCAAAAGTAGAGAGGGAGGAATTACTATATGGAGATCCACCAGCCAACCCTTAATGCCTTTGAAAAGCAGTGTTCATTAATGATCCTGAAGGTTTGTTTTAAATATCTGTTATATTTTGGAAATAAGTTTTATATTCACACTTTGAATTTGCTCCTGCAGAGCTTATGTATATCTAGTGCCTGGATCCACAGATAAACAATATAAACATCCTCTTTTTTTGGCACGGTAAACTGAAGTGTCATCTAAGTCCTTCCCTATTTAGGTAATGACCACTTAGCAAAAATGTGGAAAGCCTATCCTAAAACATGACACGGGATAAACGAGACTCTACATAAATACTGTTTTTTAAACCTTCTTTATGAAGAATAATTATTTCCTTTTTACATTATGTATTTGGACTTCCTAGTTAAAAAAAAAAACCTGGCTGAAACATAACATTAAATCACTCATGCAACAATGATACTGTAAATTCAGATTCTGCATACCATATGGATAGCATAATTGTATGAAGTCTTAATGTTCTTAAAATGGCAATTGATCAAGTAGGATATTGCACTTTTTAATTCCACTTGTCAGTAGAATAAATTACTTTATTACATTTACTAATCAGTTTGTTATTTGCCTGCAGGATTCAAAATGTGCAGGTTATAAGAACTACTAAATTATGCCTTAGTAAATTAATTGTATGAAACAATCTCCTGATTATGTTAGAATATGGCTTTGTAACCAATTAAATTCCATTTATGTTTTGAAGCAATTCATAATTCAAATTATACATTTCTAGAAACCTATTTTTTGTTGCCAATACAAGTTGTGGAAGGTAGTGAAAACAGAAGAAGGCAGCATTCCAAAGCCCCTAGCAACTTTCTGTTGCCAACAATTTTAACAGTACCACAAAGAGAAATGTTTTCAATAGTTTTTTTTTTAAGGAAACTTGTCAATCTTGAAAGATAGGACTGAGAGAAGTCTCTTTAACTGCAAAAAGTATTGAATTAAAAGTCCAATTTTCTCCCTGAAACTTTAAATGTTATAACTAAAACTTCAATTTATAATCTGTTATAGCTTCAGAAATAAGTTAACACTATACTTGTGCTTTTTCTTTAAAACTTAGATTCTTATTACCTCAATGGCAAAAGAAAGTTAAAATAAGGATGTTTAGACATTCAGATATACATTTAGTGGTGTATGATTTACACCTAGTCAAATACATAAATATAGCTTTTGATATGAATTGTGATTATAATAGCTGATTTTTGAATGGTGCCAAGTTCCAAGAAATACATTACACCAATCTAGTTCTAGCCAGACGCCTCTGTTTATGCAGGGGTAATACTTGGTCCACTGCCAATCCTTGTAATCCCAGTCTGATTCTTTGAGCTTTTATTAATCTTCAGATTAGTCTACATGCTCTAAATCCAACTGTTAGATATGGTTTATATTACATGTATTTTTATGATAGAGTGTGAGAAGTATGAACTAACCTTCTATAATATATATATGTGTGTGTGTGTGTGTGAGCACGTGCTCATGCTAATTTCTTTCCCCCACCCTACCTTCAGAAATCAATTCTGTATCTTTTGGCTTTGGAGGGGGTGGGTATATACATATGTTAAATAAATGTACTTTCTTTTTAAAGAAACTGGCATTAAGTGTTAGTCACAGTGTAAATTAGCTATGTCATACTACTGCCAATACTACACACCAGCCTAGAAAGCAGGTTTAGCAAAATTGCTGGAGTTGAGGACTAGGTTAATGCTGCATCCTTGCCCAGCAATCCTTCCCAAGATTGCTGATTCACTTTTGCCATTGGCGGTTGATTCCCTGCTGCCTAGCTGATAGGTATGAGGAAGTGGACAAGGTTCTGAAGCTACAAACTTGGTATCCCCGAAAGGCATGCAGACTGCTAATTGTACACTGCTAATCTGCATAGGATTCTGTCCTAAAACACTGTTGGCGTTTTTAGGCCTCAGAGCCCATTGGGAGTATATATTGTAGAGTCCTTGGGGTTCTCTGAGCTTGGACTCTACAGTTCAACCCTGAGCTATACATATTCACCTCTGTTGGAATATATATTGATCTATTTCAAAGGGAGAAACAGTCACAGAACCATTTATTTTTCTTATTTCAGCCTTAGAGAAATCTAGCTAGGAAAATAGACAAACATGGGGTTTTTGCTTACAATTCCAAACCAGGACTTGATTCTGTTTCATTGCACAGTTCCATAGGTCTTGTTTTTTTGGATCCCTAAAATAGGACCTGGGGAATCATGAACATGTACTAAAATGACTTGCCCTTAGTTAAATAATGAAATAATTTAGACCTTCATATTTGCACAATGCAAATGCACAATGAATATTTCATTTATATGATATATTTGGGTAGTTTTTTGTATAATATCTACTTTTTAAACTGCTGTTTTTATTATTTTTAAATGTTTTGGTTGCTGTAAATGATGTGTATCTGTGTTTTTGTCATATGCTACATGGAATTCAGTTTTCCATGCTGATAATAAGTTTAATACAGCCATATTTCCCTCCCAAAAATGTAATTAAAAATGTTTGAATTATAACAGTTAACATTTTACATTATTGCAAGCAGAATTTTCAAGATTTATATAGAGATCTGAAATACACCTTAACTATACAACAACACACACACACACACACTATACAACTGTTTCTAGAGCTCTATGTTTATTTTATTTATCTAGGAATTTTTAGTGGTTTATGGACTGAATTGGTTGTTTCTTGAATTAAAAGTTACAAATTTATTATACTGTAGTACTTTTATTTTCAGTAAGTTTGTCATCATTTATCTTTTGAAGTTATTGGATTTCTTTTTGCTCAAAATTGTTAGGGCTCCATTTTGGAAGAAAAAACAGGATACAAGTATATAAAATGTAATGCAAGCGTACATCCAATTTGACCCAGCTTTTCTTGGATATCCTAACTTTCCCTCTTTTTCAAGATATGAGTACCCCAAGCAGAACAACCCTACTACTGTCATTGTTTCTAGTCAACCTCAAGAACATCACTGAATATACATGGAACATGGTTCTTAAAACTGCTTTAGAAGGTTTTTGATAGTGTGGATAAATATCCTTGAAAGCAAGGCCTTTAGAAGTGCAACGTCTCTTGGCTCCCCCCTCCTCATCTGTACCAGGCTCCAGGGATCCATTCAAAACATTCCTAATGCAATTAGTGCATGTCATTTCATTGAAAAGTGCAAGACCATAACTTAAATGATCAACAGCCTTAAGCCATGCATCTTTTTTCTGCTTTCCAATTTGCCTCAGTGTAATTGTAAAGCAAGCTACTGTTCTTGCATAAACATGCAGTAACTTGTTACCTAACAATAACTCAGCAGCTTTTCTTATGCAGCATTATAACTTAGCAAAAACAGTTCCTTCTTCTTTGTATTAGCTACAATAAAGCTTATTCACATGTAACAATAACCCAGAATTCTAATTCGGGCTGCTTATGATCAGGCAAATATAATTGTTGAAGCTGATTCATTACTGCTTGGTTTTCCTGACAGTGACAGTGGCTAGATAAGCCAGGAAGGTTTTATTAGTTTTATATTTAAATCAGAATCCAGACTTCTGGAAGGAAGTCCTTGAATCTGGTACTAGTACTCCACTCTGGTTGCATTCTGCCTTGAATTCATCTTGAGAGCTATGTATTTCGTTCATTAGACAAATCTCTGTTCTTGTTCATTGTAGTGAAGCGCAGCTATTCAAATCCAAAGAAGAAAAACTGGATCTGAAATTGGATCTGATATGGACATGGTCATTGTACTTGTCAGTGGCATTTTAAATACACTGTGCTTTTTCCTGTTCTCCACCTATTTAATGCCCTCTGAACTTAAAGATATATTTTCTTTGGACCTGCATGACCCAAAAAGAGGAAGAACCTCTTTAAGGGGGTCACTAATCTCTGCTATGGCAGATGATGAAATTCATCATCAATCTATTCCAGGGCTGATCTTTCATGTCAGTTTCACCATTGTGCATGGTTACCCCTAGCACATCCTGAACAAGAAGAGTAGCTCATCTGGACTCCATCATGTTCCATGTCACTCTGTTACTGCTGAAATGAAGTATAATTTCCACTATTTAAAGCAGGCCTGCACAACTCGTCAAGGGGAAAGGGCCACACTGATAAATTAAAAATCCTCATGGGTCACAAATACTGGAAGTGCTGATCAGCTGTTCCATGGCTAGTGGAGCTGCAGCAGAGCTGAAGCTGGTGGTGCTATGCTGAATTAATATATACAAAATACAGTAGACAATATACAAATGTTCAGACAACCTACTATATATACAAAGAACACATCTAATAAGGGGACCACATCCATGCCACCCCGAGGGCTGGGAGAATAGCCAGATTTTCAAGGTGTTCTGGAATGCCATCAGGGTGGGAGCTACATGTATCTGTGGAGGGACCTCATTCCAGAGGCAGGCACTGTGACCTCCAGGCATGCTTCCTGGGTCCTGATAGATAACATGGTTTATCTTACTAGTTCTTACTGGATGAGGAGAAACCCATGGGAGATAAGAGGCCCTTTGAATAACCTGGTCCTGTGTCATGTAGGGATTTATAGGTGGAAAGCAGCACTTTGAATTGCACCCAGAAGCACACCAGCAACCATTGAACCACAAGTGGTCCAGAAGGATACTGTAATTGATGGTATTGAAAGGCACTGAGAGATCAATGAGCATAAGAATGGATGCATCATCCCCATCCCAGCTCTGCCAGAGGTCATCAACAAATACAAGCAATTCTGTCTCTGTACTAAATCCTAGCCTGAAACCTGACTGAATCTGGTCCAGACAATCCCTTCCTCCAGGTGCTCTGTAACTGTAGTCTGACCACCTTCTCAACAGTCTTCTCAAAAAAGGAATGTTGGAGAAAGAATGATAATTGTCCAAATTTGTTTGAGTCCAGGGATGGCTCTTGAGGAGAGAGGGTAACACCTCATGTGTCGAAGAGGCTGACACCACAACTTGGACGCAACTGCAAGTCACTGGGTGTGCCAGATATCTAGTGAGATATGGACATGCTTCCTTCATTTTCAGATAATAGCATCCTGGGCTATGTTTGCTTACATATGGGTTTTGGCTCTAACTCTCTTACAGAGATGAAAATCCTTATTTTTTCATATTCATCTATTTTTAATAAGTTGTAAAGGTTAGTTGGTTCTAGAGAAACTGCTTGAGTGATTTTACCACAGTAATTAGATGATTTTCTCTGAAGAGCATGATCATTTTTGCAATGGAAACCTTTTAAACAAGCTTAATAATTTTAACTAAGACATGCTTACAGCTCAGACTACACATTTTATTGAATATGTATTCACAATTTCCTATTTTTAAAATACTAAGCTGTGGGAAAGGTGATCTGCGTATTATTCTCTGTGGCTGCTATTTATTTTCTGTGTTGCAATTTCCAGTATTTGCATATGCATGCAAATTCTTAGAGGTATGAAACTGTCTTTCAAGATAATAATTTAGATGGAGATCCAGTTATGCCTAGAATAAATCCAACAGACTACCTAGAATAAACAGACTAAACAGATTAAATAGATTTGGATAGGTCTAGCTAAAGTATGACAAGAACTGGATCTAAGCCAAATTACAGTTTAGTGTTTTCTGTTGTTTCTAAACTCTAAGCTTTAGTTGTTAAAAATTAGGGGTATTGCCTTATGAGAAAAAACTAGAAGATTTGGGAATCTTTAGAAAAAGGCAACTGAGGGGAGATGTGTGTATAAAATGATATAAAAAGCAGATAGGAGTTTTTTTCCCCTCTCTCAAAACACTACTTTTTTGCAACAGTAACTGACTGACCGGCTTGTCGAGCTTGACATTGTGGGCTGAGAGAGAGTGAGTGGCCCAAAGTCACCCAGCTGGCTTTCATGCCTAAGGTGGGGCTGGAACTCAGAATTTCCTGGTTTCTAGCCTGGAGCCTTAACCACTAGACCAGACTGTCTCTCTTTCTCTCTCAAAACACTACTGTATGTCTAATTATCAGCAGTATGATGCTCACATAACTGTTCATGGTATCTGTTCTCTTCATTGCTTCATAGACTATGCTCAGTGAAAATATATACCCACAGTAGTACCAGAACTTGAAAGCAAGTAGCTGTCTTTAGTTGTGAATATTAGAATGCTGTGAAGTTTTTGATAGTGTCCAAAATGAATCTGGGTCCAATATCAAAGCATAAACTATGGATTTACTGATAAATAATATAACATATAAATGTCAGTTCTTTGGTTGTTACAAATTAATTTTCAGTTTTGTTGCTAATTAAAATAATTCCAAAATCAATTTAATGCCAAAGAAGTAGTGTAATTCAATATCAGTTTAATGTTCATAATGCAAAATGTTTACTTTCTGAAAAAATAACTGAAATATTTAAGTCACATAATTGTGGTTGTTTTATCTTTGAAGGTGGCATTTCTGAAAATGTAAAATAGGTATTTCTTTAAGAAAGTTCTGCTAACAGAAGTGGTAATTACAGTTATGGTTAAAGCATGTTGATTACTAGAGACATAATTGGCGAGAGTGTGGATGTCTGAAGAGAAGTACATGTTCCTACTTGTTGCAAAAATAAGTGCACAGTTAATACTGCTTGAATATAGAATTTATAACACATGTGGTTATGAATGCTGTCAAATAAAAGTTGTTTCAATTGTGTAAATTAATATTCACTGTGCAGTAATATGTGAAAAGGTTTTTTTAATTAGGATGAAAAGGAATTAATCATATTGATTTATATAGCTATGCTGTCTCTCAATTAAATTATATGCCTACTGGGCAAAGAGAGAATCTCTTCTAAGTTACTCTGTTTTTGAAGGGCTTGAAAATAAATTGGGGCAAGTTTTTGTGACAGTAACATTGTGATTCCCATTGGCAGACTTCTTCCAGTAAGAGGGGCAAATACTGGGCAGAATAGGGTAAATGAGGAGTCTGAAGAAATGTTGGTCAATTCTGTAAACTAAAACCTTCCCAACAAAGTCAGTGATCAGATCTGGGTGATTTTTCCCTCTTTCTACCTATGTGCTGTGATTGAAAACAAGATTCAAATGGATATGTTTTTTAGGAATGTTAATGTTTATCTTGGTGAAATAGAGAATTGATAACATTAAAAAGTGAACATTGGTACATGGTTTTAAGGTACTTACAAAACACATACTGATACTGCATTTTGCTTATGCTTGTACACATGCAGCTGAATTCTAGATGGGTGGAAGAAGTAATTTTTCATTCATTTTGTTATCTAGTACAAATAGTTGATCATAGATGAGTCTGATATATAAATATTTTGTGTAATTATATTAGGATGTGCAGTTTATTCACAGGGAATTCATCTGTGTCTATATTAGGCTGATAATCTATGTGGAGATAAAAGTCTTTAATTTGTTTGGACTTGTTTTAAAGCTGAGATAAACTAAGATAAACTCTTAAATCTTTGTTTAAAGACATTTTTTGTACCCTAGGCAGCAGGAGCAATCCGTCCTCTTGTCTCCACAGTTATTGCTTCCACTACGGATGGATGTTTAGACCATTCCCTAGATCGTGCCAAGTACAGAGCAAGTGAAATGCCTCAGGCTTTCTTATTTGATAAAATCCATCAAGCATATCTTCAGGTAAGTATTTTGCTTTTTCTCCCCAGAATAATATAAAGGACAACTGATAATACTTAGTATTTGAAAAAGAAAAAAGAAAAAATCTACATAATGATTTTGGCAGCCTTATTGTCACCGAATAGCAATGTTCTATGATGTTCTGTTATTGTACTATTGTACTTCTGGACAAAGAAAATCAATAATGGATGGTGAATTTTATACCTCAATCTTTCTTCCTTTTGGTTAAAAAAGAAAGAAAAAAGTATAGATTTATATATTGTAAAAACTGAATTAAAAAGCCAATTAAAAATACAAATTATTTTTCATGAATATTTTACATCCATTTATTTTTAACAAACAGAATTTTATGTTTTTATTATCCCAAAGGACTGAAAAGATGTTGCCTGCCAAATCTGGAATAGTTATAAATATCTTTTTCTAGCCTCTGCTATAAAGCAGACCTTGTTCAGATAATCTAAACATGCATAAGTGGTAAACGTTATAGATATATTATAGGTAATATATATTAAAAAATAAAATGAAAAAGAGTACCAAAAATTGGATCTTACTAAATATAGAATATCCCCAAACAAACAAAGCCTCCCCACAAAGAGGAGAATTTGTTTAGCAGTTGTGGTTTCTTAAAGAAGCATAAATGACTCAGAAGGAACCAGTATTGTTTTGTAGTTATTTTGGAGAAAGCTCATTTCAGAATGAGGGCTGTGAATACTGCCATTTCTTTTGCAATTATATTGGCACTTTATTTTTGTATTTGATCTGTGAATGTCTTTATGCAAAAGACAGATGCCTTTTAAAAGTCAAGTTTAGTGATGATGTTCTTGTCTCAAGTTATGAATAATAGTTTGGTAGCTTTTCAACTTGAAACTTGTATCTATCATTTCATTGCAGAATTTAGTCATTGCTACATGAATCTAGTCACTGCTGTGAGATGGACAGCTCTATAAATCGTTTAAATAACTAAAAATAAAATAAACTTTAGATTTATCTGTATTCTTTTTTTCAAAATAATTTTTACTGAAAGTTTTAATAACAATAGTAAAAGAGAATACAAACTAAACTCAGAAAGAAGGGAAAGTAAAGAAAAAAAATAAAAGGTGTACAGAAAAAAAGAAAAGAAAGAAAAAGAGAAAAAGAGAAAAAATATTTAAAGAAATAGCTTCCAATCTTCATCACAAATAAGTGATGAATAAACTTAATAATTCATCACTCCCTGTAATATGAAAGTATCTCTTCCTCCCATAATCTATCACTTATCCATACGCAAATAAAATAATTAACATTCTAGTCCTAGTGTCAGCACAAAGTCTGTAAAGGGATCCCAGATTTATACGAACACATTTTTTTATTTTTTAGATGTTTTTTATCCCACCTTTATTATTTTTATAAATAACTCAAGGCGGTGAACATATCTAATACTCCTTCCTCCTCTTTTACCCACAACAACAACCCTGTGAGGTGGGTTGGGCTGAGACAGAGTGACTAGCCCAAAGTCACCCAGCAGGTTTTCATGTCTAAGGCAGGACTAGAACTCACAATCTTCTGCTTTCTAGGCCAGCATCTTAACCACTACACCAAACTGGCTCTCAAACATTTTATTTTAACCTTGATCAAACAAACCAACTTTGCATTCCTGTCTTTTGTTTGTAACAATCTTAATCTTTAGTTCATTCAGATGCTGTTGTAGGATTTGATCTCGCTTCCATTTTTCTTTTTCTCATCTTGAAGATTTTTTCAAGACTTTAACCAACTTCTTTTATAAGTCCATTAAAAAGTCCCTATCAGGTCAATTTCTTGGCTTGTCATTTGTATTTTCACTTCAGTTGTTTTCTTTGTCTTATAGTCTCTAATTTTTTATTTTCCAGTACTTCTTCAAATTTTTTATGTTCTAATATTTCTTCATCAGGCAAAATTTGTTTCATCTCTTTATCTTGTAAATCTTCCCAAATCTTCTCTCTTACATTAATAATTTCTTTTTTGATATCTTTTGGACAAAATCTATTCATAGAAGCATGCATCATTGCTGAGATTGAAGCTGCTATTTTTGACTCCATTCTGCAAAAATCTCTTTAAGTATTTCAGATGTCATAGCATTTTCTGTCACTTGACAAGTTCCAATGCTGACCAAAGACAATAGAGAGGCTTTTCACCTTTTTTTTCTCTTTTCCCTTTCTGCATGGAATCTTTAGTCCCCTCTAGTGTTCAATTTCTGAAATAATAAATTCTCAAGTTTTTGTTTTGACTTAAATAGACTAAATAAATTGATTCCCACAAATGTGTTGTTTATTTATATAATTATTTCCAAACTCTTATTGCAAAGGTCCAAATACTCCATTATTCCAAGTTTGTCTGGTCCCTTAATTTGTTTATAACTTTCTTAAATCAGATTCTTATTTAGCTTTTTGCCATTTATTTCTAATTCTTTAAGTTCAGTTCTTCTTTTAGTTAAGAATGAAGGTAAACTCATCTAGTGGCTTTTCAGACTTGTTGTTTTGAAGATCCCTAATATCCTTACAATAGTTTAATAGGTAATTTCTGAGAGTGATTAGAAAGTGAGTTAGCAAACTCATTCAGAGACATCTTAGGTCACCATTCCTCACCCAGAAGCTCTGAATTATCTGTATTCTTTTGAAGAAGAAGTTGTAATACTTCTTTTGCTTGGCTAGATATTTGGCTTGTGAATTAGTGTTTGAATATAGGCAGATCTCAGGGCAGACCCTCACAGTCTCCTTCTCCTGCTGCAAGGACAGTCTTCTATTTTCCAAGGACATGTCCACCTGTCACTGCCTGTGTCTCATTATCCATCTGCAACTAAGTCAGCCTGAGGATTAAGAGAGGTGGTTCTCTCTGGAAGTGGCATTTTCCCTCTTATCCCACGTCTGTATGCTATATACATGCTATGTAGAGTCAATGAAGTGAATGGGAATGCAACTGGAAATGACATTGGCAAACTTGCACCTCTAATTAATTCTGCTTGTTTCCTGTGGAATGTCCCTTTCCATCCAGTTTCTGACCTGTTTTTCTGCCCCTCAGTCCTTTTTTGGCTGAGAGGGAGACTGGAACCCTGGCTTCTACAGACCTGATTTTCATGGCTGCTTAAGTTATAGCGTTTCTATCCTTTTCCAACTCTATGGATGTAATTGCTCATATAGATAGCTGATGAATGATTTGTACCTGAACTCTTTTAATTTGTCTAGTAACTTAGATGTAACATTATTTTAACAATATGCCTCATAAAATAAAGAAAACAGCTCTTCCTCAGTCACCTCAAGTCAAGAGTTCTGCTCCAGAAATGAAGACAAAAAATGGATGAGCTTATGCAATCTATTGACATGCCAGATAGAGAGGAAGGAGTGATGGCTCCTTCTCTAATGGACTGGGTAGAACTTTGTTAATTCCTAATGTACTGCTAACCCAGCTAGAACAAATAAGAAACTTTGAATTATTAGTGAAATTCCAGCCCATTTATAAATAGATTGATATTAAATTTACAGGTTTGGAAACTGGCATATCTGGGATCCATGGAGATCTTAAAATCATGAAAACTCAAGCCTTGGAAGTGTTAAAGAGAATTATTGCTATTCTCATGAAACTAGAATTAAGACCTTAGACAAAATGATAGCTCATTTTGATATCTCATGATAAAGTAATTACAGAATTACAAACAGAACTACTTAAAGTAGAGGGGCAATTCAGCAGAAATAATTAAAAAATAATTAACCTTTCATTGGATGATGAGCAGCGGAAACCCTTATTAAATTACACAGAAGGGTGCCTTCAGGAACTCTTCTCATTGCCAATTGATTTTAAAGTGAGATAATGGATGCTCACAGATTAAGAGCAAGAGGGAATCCCTCACAGATATTTACCTGTATATTTGTTAATTTCTAAGGTCTAGTCAGAGATAATCTTTTACAACTTTCAAGACAAGCTACTAAATTGAAACACCATGGACATAAAATTATGTTTTATCCAGATCTTTCTTTATAAGTGCTTCAGTGATGAAAAGACTTTGATTTAGTACTTATACTCACAAAAACTAAGAAAGTCAAATATTATTTTTTTGTATCCAGAATCTCTTACATATCTCTTGGAAAAGAGAGCAGATTTACAAACCTATCTGCCACTGTAGAATTTTTAGAAGGTCTGAGCTTATCTGATGAGTAACAACTTTGTTTCTCTCCTCCCTCCCTCCCTCCTTCCTTCTTATATAAGTACCGTATTTTTCCGACTATAAGACGATACTTTTTTCTAAAATCCTTACGCTAAAA